AGCTGTAATGCTGGCCAGATGATTTGGTAATGCCGGCCGGATAATTTTATTTGGGATCATATTAAAAATCCCGCGCGGGATCCCGCGCGTGCCCATCTCTATTTATCGCTGTTTTCGAAATTGTTGAAAATGACAAATCAATTTTTTTTGGTGTACACTCGTACACTCACACACTCGATTACCTTAGCACGTTTATTGGAGATCTATGTAATTGTTCAGAATAATTACATAATATCGGACATCGATCTCCAATAAACGTGCTAAGGTAATCGAGTGTGTGAATGTGTGAGTGTATGAATGTACGAGTGTATGGCAGAAAAAATTTTTTCAACCATTTCGAAAACAGCGATAAACATGTCAGATTCCGGGTTTTATCTAAAAGTGCTTTGATTAGCTTTTCATTCGCATCTATTGCACAGTAGTCTTATAAGAGAAAAATGAACAACGCACAACCTCCTAAGATAAAAAAAAAAAAAAAACTTACCAACAAGAACAATAATTTGGCACAAGTTGATTAGAATGGGTTATGATGAGAAATTTTATTACAGGCAAATACACACGTAATTATTATATTGAATTTGGAGAGGTACATAGTTTTAAGCTTTTATTAAAGTGAAAAGATCATCTTTTATAACCAGCATTACAGAAGGAAGAGAAAGTTTTATAACTTTCGAACCTTTAGCAATTTCCATTTATTTTTACTAATTTATTCTCTCCATTTTTTCGCATATGAAACATTCCCACAATATAAGCTACATAGTCATGCACTTAACCCAATTCGAAAATATTAACTCTTTGCCATTTTTAAAAGCATTGTTAACAATAATCCAATAATCGGAGCATCACACATGATCACACAAGATCGTCTGGTCACAGATTTGCCACTAACATTATAAAATTTGTAAACATGTCTAATCTACTTAGTATTTTTCATTTGTTTAGATTGCTTAGATCACTTCCTATGTGGTCCTAAACAAGAGCATGTGCACCAACAGAACCTTCGAGTATTTTGAATAATTAAAACTTATGCAACTAGATGATCATGCCTTGCCTTTTATATTTAATCATAGTTTCTTTATTTAGAATTTAGCATTACAATGCAGCAATTTCATTCAAATCATTTGCTCTGTGCTTATTATGGCAGCGATGCCACTAGATAAGTTAAGAACTGCTAAAATTGGATGAAATTATGTAACCAATAGTAAGTAGCCACTAGATTCTTTTAAAATAAATTTTTTCAGCTATAATCCTGTAAGCACATATTTCAATATTCAATATCCTGAAAGTCAAAGATCCCATGATTACGAAGATTCAAGAACAATACACAGTATACACTCTATTATATCCTTAAGCCATACGGATTGAATGCTAAAGTTCTTAAGGTATGTAGTGAAACATAGTAGTATTCGCTTATGATTTTACTAATTGCAGAATTTTTTTTTTTTTTTTTTTTTTTATAAGTATTAATTTTTATCAACTTACGCATATACTTAATAATTTAAAATTTTTTTCAATCTCAATGTGAAGTCAACCTTTGAACACCATTTATTAAAAAAAATTTGTTGAGATCCAGGTTCCTGTAAATAACACCGCCAATTAAAAATCTTAATGCCAATTAAAGTATTTTATCACATCCAATTGATTTAAATTCATTATTTGACCACGTCGCCTACTCACTATATTTCAAACGATATAAAATATATTTGACATTATCCGAGAACGTAAGACTCAACACATATATATATATATATACAAGAAAACAACTTTCTTTGTAAGACCAAAATGTGAATTATTATAATAGATCGATCAGTCGATCTTGAAAAAAAAATCAACAGGCTAAGTAAAAAATTAACCAATTGTTCATTATTGATCAGAATCACTAATAAGGATGATTATATTTCATTCTAGGATTTTGATATCCTCTATGACTATAATGAGGTTTTGGATGAAAGTATTTGTTACTTGGGTTATAAACTCTATGAATTTGTGAATGATGATATCTATTAATATCGAAATTTCCCTTTATATCAGAAGCCATATGATGTGAATCATGTCTATTATTTCGAGGAGAATAATCTTGTTGAATATTGGCTCTTTTTTCACCATTATTGAAATTACTATCATAACTATCACTTCTTAAAGGTTTATCATCTCGAAGATAATCAATATTTCTTTGATGATACCTTGGATTTCTTTGATAATCAGTATCCCTTTGATAATTCTCATGGTAATATATAGGATGATCATTACTACTAAATCTTCTATTATGCTCATCATAAAATCGAGTTCCCACATTCTTATATTTATCTCTGGGAAAATAACTATGACGTCGAGTTGGAATAAAACTTCCAGGCTTATGCATGCGATAATCATCTATTGGTGGTCTTGTATCATCATATTTATATTTTCTATAATTATAGCTATAAAATCCTATATTATCCCTTGATTTATAATCATGTTTGTATTGATCCTCATATGATAAACTTTTTGTAAATTTATTTTCCATGGAATTCTTTTGAATAGTATTTAATCCACTATCACCATTGTCACCATTAATTGACATCTTGTCATCCAATAAACTCATTGCTTCTGATGGAATGAATGAAGATATATCCAGAGAAAATTGTTTTTTATCGGTATTATTATTGGAAGTTGTAGAATGATTTGTTAACGTAGTAGAAGAAGCAGGAGTAGTGTTTTGTTGATTATTATCAAGTTCCATGGGATCTATATCCGTACCCGATCTGGATTTCGAGATAAGATTAGGATTGTTAGAAGATTGATGTGAAGATTCAGGTAGAGTTGATTCAGAATTTGGTAAATTATTTATAAAAGATGATGACGACGCCGAAAATCGATCCGTGTGTTGAGTTGAACTATCGCCCACAGAAATAGAATCTTTGTCTCTGATATAACGATCGGAATATTTTGGAGATGGATCGGAAAATTTTGAAGATGGATCGGAATATTTTGAAGATGGATCGGAATATTTTAGAGGAGGATCGGGAAATTTTGAAGATAGATCAGAAAACTTTGGAGATGAATCAGAAAATTTTGGAGATGAATCAGAAAATTTTGAATATGTATAATCATTTTTCCAAACTTTGTGAGAATATGTAGGATTAAAACTCTTTATTTCACTACGAAAAGGTGGAAACACTCGATGATATCTGTTATCATATGGTCGTATTTTTCTATATGGTCGAGGTTTAATAATTGGTCTCCTGTAATAATGATTTGAATAACTTGGATAATCAACGTTTCTCTCCATGATAGGTTTCGATCTTGAACTGTAATATGAATACTTAGATCGACCACCCCAAGATGTAGAACTTGAAGGAGAAGTTGGTAAATGTCTATCATCAAAATTTGAGAGTTTGCTCTTATCAGGACTCGGGAGTGGGTCATCGTAGTCGTCATCATCAACATCAACAACAATATCATCATCATCATCATAATCGTCATCATCATTACGTTCAGCTTTATCATTAACCTCTAGTTGATTTGATTGTAATGAACTTGACAAATCTGAAGGTTGCGTAGTTTGCTTTCCAGAAATGCATTCCATAGAAAGAATATCTTTTTTTGCAGCGAATTTTTTTTGATTAAACTTGAATGCTTTGAATTGCTTTGATAATATATCGGGTTGAACAGAATCATCATTGTTTTTAATCGAAGTGTCTAAAATAGTAACATCATCTTGATCACCAATGATTTTGGATGGTTGTTCAGCGATTGAATTCTGTTGGTCACCTTTCTCATTACTAGGTTTCATACAAAGAGGATTATCACTAACAGAAGTTACTGGACTGGTAGATTGAGGGGGTTCTACTTTACCCAAAATAAAAGAATGTAACTTCTTTAATCTTTCATGTTGCCTTTGTTGAGATACTTTTATCAATTCATGATCTAATTGAAGTTGATTCTTTTTACAAGGCGGATGAACAAAATAAATAAATATATAAATATATATATATATACGTAAATAACACAAAAATTAATCAATACAAAACAAAACTTACATAATACATTTCAGATTTTGAACAATAATCTCCATAGACTTTTTTATCATACTCTAGAATTTCAGCAGCTTCCAGTTTATTATTCATACTTTCTTTAACCATTTTACCTTCTTTCATAATTAATTCATCATCTTCATTGATTAGTCTATCAATGTTTTCATCAAACCCACATAACTTCAATAATTCCAATTCATCATGCCTTGCTTTGATTTCCTTTTCAGCATCACCGTATTCATTCCTAATAGAATTATAAAATTCTAAACGTTTTCGTTTATGTTGTTCAACATGAAACCGTAATAACGTTGATAATTGAGAATCGTTATTCATTTTAATGACGTTGCTTCGAATTGCGTTAAACTCTTGCGTAGTATAATTATTAATAAGGCTATGAGGTGGTTCTATTCCAAAACCGTTCCTATCAGTAAAACTAAAAAAAGTAAAAGTAAATGGGAGAGTGTCACAAAAAAAAAAAAAATAGAATTTTTAATCTAATAATAAATGCGAAAAGTCATGATAAATTTGAATTACTTGGCAGGAAATTCCCCCAACATTAAATTGAATAATTGATCATCCTAAGAGAATAAAAAGTTTAATATTATTTGAAATTATCATTAATAAATGTCAAAATTAATTTAAATGAATTTAATATTTACAGGAAATAGCCTCTCCATATTTATCTTTATGGTAGGGAGACAGTTGTGTTAGCTATGCGCTATCGAATATTTTACCTATAGAAAGTGGCTTTTTTTTTCTTTCTTTTTTTTTATTTTTTAAATTTTGTTTTATTGCTCAATATAAAATAGTATTATTAACAATAAAATACTATTTATCCATATATTACATTCATCCAGCGGAGAAAAGTTTTGAAAATCAAAAATTTTCAAAAATTTGGCGAATAGCCATTCGTACGTACATACGTATATATTGTCGGAATGTCTATCAGTGACGTACTATGTAACACAAATTAAAAGTTACAGCTGCATGACCCCTGCTTTGTAACCTATGAGCATAATTACTTCAGTTAACGGTAACGTTTTTGTAACATTTGATGTGCCTGAAAAAAGCTCTAAATGAGTCGCTCTAGAATTTTGCTACAGTATATCTATATATATATAGAACACTGTATACCTTTTAAAAAAAAATTGTAAGCAGAGATCAACTTTTAATATGAACAACAAACATGTACAGTGGTGGTTAAAAAGCATTGTGCACCTCAATTTTTATATAATTAGAATTTTATTCTTTTATTGAAATTAATTTTTTTAAAAATATAGATGATAAAATTTTAAAATCATCAGTTTTTCATATATTTGCAAGTTTTGAGACAATATAATTGATTTGAGTTATTATCGTGCTGATTGCGTTACCAAGAAAGGATTTTCGTGTATAGTACGTACAATACTGTACGCGGCACGCTCTATTACCATCTTTAGACCCATTGTAGATTTAATGTACTGTAATTCCTATTTGCCAATAAGCCTCATTCAATCCTATATAATAAATATATATATATTAATACAGTATATGGTAAGTAATAAAGTTTTTGTTCGATTTTTTTTTTTTTAAAAAAAAAAAAAAAAAAATTAAATTAACCATGATTCTTTATTTTGGATTCGACCAATTAATAATTCTCAGTGTTCAAAAACAAAAAATTGATTAACGTAATATCTAAAATTTGTTAACTTTAGGCTTTAAAATTGAATAGTACCGTAAAATTCAGAAAATAAACACCACTCTCTCTACCTTAATTCTTGGAATCTCGACTGACGGGAATAACTTGGATGAAGACTAACTTATTGTTATTTCCATTAATATGAGAGAGCGTTTAATTTCCTAATTTCACAGTAATTATTATAAGGAACAAGCATGAGGTTTCCCTCTAATGATTAAGGTTTGGTTTTTTTTCTGTTTTGCGATAGAGTCGATAATTTCCATCTACGTTATTGTACTACTTCTTGTCGAGAGAAATTCCCACGAAATTTATCTTCTATCTTATAATAAAATTAATAACATTTATGTACAATATTTTGAAATATTAAAAACCAATTCAATTAACCGTTAGGCCAAGGTATAAGATTTTGTATTGACATATTCTGATAAAAAAAAATTATTACCTTTATTCTTGAATCATACCTGGCTTATTGTACATATGAAAAAAAAAGGATATTCAAGACCAACAGGATAAAACCTTGAGCAGAAAGGCAGAACAAATTAGGAATTGGAATTGACTATTCGTTTATCATAGACTTGAGTGTTTCGAACATCACTGAATTATTCATTTTTCTTTAATTTTTTATACTGTATTTTTTTATACTGTATGACTGATATTCGATGATTGATGTTCAATTTAAAATAGCTTGCTGATCAATGCTTGGCAACTTATTCATCGATTCTAAAATTACAATCATCCACTTGACATTTAAAGGCTTTGATAAACCGACTTCTTATTTTGTAATTTCATAAATAAATGCACATTTTTGAAAGTTCGTAGAATAAAATTATATAAGTACTAATGCTTACAGTAATGATAATTAATCGACATTAGTAAACGTTATGGTACCTTAATAAATATACATACGTGCGTGCGTACGTACGTACGTACGTACTGTACAATTATTGATTTGAAAATTCCACTTACTATTTATAGTCAATTAATTTTCAGGCAGTCAGCCAATCGGATCATTGTGCAACAACCCAATTTTAATATAAATACGGAAATTTTTGTTTATGCCAAAGCCAAGTATCACCGGAAATGCAAACATGACAACTTGAATCCTGAATATGGAATATAAGAAGCTGTGCAATATTAAGAATTATTAAGAATATTAAGAATGCATAGGCAGCCTCAAGTGGGCGTCTATTGAAATTTTTTTTTTCTGTCAAAGTATTTCTACCCGAATAGTTATTCTAAGTGATGATAGAATGCACTCGCCAGAATAATTGGTTAAGTTCGTTTTCTTTTCTTTTCTTTTTTTTTTATACACTATAAAAAACTTTATCCATAATAAGTACGTATATCCATGATTTTAATAACAAACCAAATTTTAAAGAAAGCGAACGAAGTTTTTCTTTTTGGGCTTTGCCTTCGCAGCCCACAGAATAGGCGGTAAAACACATGTTTTTTGGTTTAACATTATTACTAATCACAAGTATTATTTTATACGGAATTAAAGATCTCTTAGAAAATATGACGATGGAGTACAGTATAGAAAAAAAATAATATCAGAACAATTTTTATGTCTAGACGAAATGCAGAGAATTATCAAAAAATTCTGAACATAGTTTAATTTAGTATTTCAGGCGAAACTATTTTCAAAATCTGAAACGTTTCATTAGGAGGAATTTCATTTTCGCACCGTAAGTTCGAAATCCTCCTAAACTTGTTTCATCCAATTTGATCTACATATGATGGGTTTCGCACGAAACACTAACTTAATTACAATAGCAAAGATGACTTTAATTTGTTGAATAACTCAAACGACTTAAGCATAAAAAAAAAACTAATTTTGTGAAAATTACTTTTTTTAATTGGGTATGATTATTTATTAATAATAATTTGAAAAAGGTTAATTTTGAAACAAATAATTTAATATCAATAACTTATATAACTTATTGGATAGTTATTTAAGTGTTATACGCTCTCTTACAAAGGACTTTCTTTTTAAAGATCAAAGGAAAAGTTAAATTCGAGCATTATTCCGTTCTGAATTATATAATTTGTTCAAAGGTATTTACATGGTAAGATAACGATAATGTTGTTTAATTCACTGTGATCATCTTTGAACGATTATAGATTTTGATGAACTTGATCTTACCAAGCCCTCGAATATAAAATTATTTAAGAACCGGACATGGAAATCAGTTTACTCTCAGTACTTTTTCCATAGTATAGAAGTCATTCGTATATCATCAATGGACGTAAATGCATGTACATCAACAACCGTATATCAGGATTTCAAATAGGCTGTCCAGGTTGTAACGGTAGATTGAATTAGGTATTAAAATGTAATAATAGTCGGTTATTTCCCATAACGGGTAATTACTATTAGCTAACTAGCAGTTAAATACTGACGCACATAACTCTGGCTGAGATTGTTATTTTAGTGATAATCGAGCTGAGAAAGTTATTGAATCAAAATACCGATAAGTTCTAATACTGCACATGAAAGATGAGATATTTTAACGATTAGCTGGATGTTATCTAAACGAACGAAGTGATTTTATCGGTTATTATAAATTATATCAATATCATCTTACTCGATTCGAGGCTCCATCATCAGATATGTGAATACTATTTTATTTCACATGACAATGAGTATAATTAATTATCATTCCGTTGGTACATGTCAGGGTGAAGAAATTTCATTGTTGATCTGGAACGGCAGAATAATATTTTATCATCGGTATAACGGTTTGTGATAACATTTTAAAGCGTTCATTCATTAATTACCTTTTAAGGGGGTTCTACACAAAATCTCGAAAACCATTTTCCCGAAAGAACATAATACCGACTAAATTGGCCAGCATTATAGCTAATTCCGGCTAACTTTGTCGGTACGGGAATCTGTCTTTCGGAATTTTGTAGTAATGTCTCGATGATTAACCCAATAGTAATCATGAAGATAATAACAGTAGGCTTTATTTACTTTATCTTTTTTACTTATCATTTTTTTTTGCTTTATTGACTAGCTATTTTTTTCAGATCCAATTTATTACGCTTTCATAATGTGATGTTGACCATACTATGAATTACTAAAAGGAAACAAGAAAACGAAGATCGAAGGAAATTAGATTTTCCTTTTAAGAAATATCATTTTAAAAAAAAACGAATGGGAAAGATATGATAACTTTTGTATAAAAAGAATAAAAAGATTTTACTGTAAAAATTTTTGTTATTATAAGAAAGCTATTCCGAAAGAACATTCAAGTTATACATTGACAATTAAAGCAAAAAGGCACTTTTACGTTGAAGTTATAAATTCTAAAATTATTAAAAACAAAACAAAAACAAAATTTTGGATTTTAAGAAGTACAGTAACATAAAATTAAAATTTAACAACTCAAATTGTTAGTTAAAATCTCGATCATGAAAATTATTGTATATGTGACAAGTGAAATATAAGTGAAATATTTTAAATTTATTAGAACTATAGGCGATAACGAAATGGATAAATTTTCGAAATGCAAGCTAATTTCATATTTCTTAAAAAAAAAAAATTGGACAAAAAGAATGAAAGTAACTCTTATTGCGAATTTATTTTATTAAATCATGTGGAAGTGATATACTACATCAAAATAATAATAATAATATAAAAGGACAATATTATTTTCAATGCATTATAAGGATTGGGTCTAGAATCAGTAAGATTACCAGTTAATACTTGAAATATTATATTCCCGAATTGGATTAATGTAACATTATTTTGATATTCACGTGATATGAATCAATTTAAATGATATCGATAAATATATTTTTTTTCGATGATTTTGATTTTATTAATTTGTTTTTTTTTTCTGTGGTAAATTTAGTCTCAAAAAAATGTATAATCAAACTTCAAATATTGCCATTTCAATTTCTCAAAATGAAAACCGACTTCAAAAAATTAAAAAATTACTCAGGGAGTATTTACTCAATGACTTCTCTAAAAATATCGAAGAACTTTCTAGTCTTTTAGATGAAGTTCGAGAAACCAAGATTTGGCAACACGCGGGATATGAAAATTTTTACAAGTTTTGTCAAGACATTATTGGTCAAGATATCGAAAATATCACAAACACTTATAAATCTATTAAAAAAAGTATTTACGCGGATCAAAATGCAAAATACGAGATCAGGATATCGAAACTTAAACGTAAAATGAGAGAATTGGAATTGGATGAAAGATTAATCAATAACATTATTGAATATCCAAAGGATTCTTTACATTTAGTCATTAAATTTTTCAATAGATTTTCAAACCATGAAAGGATTTCGATACTGGTTTATAATTTAGACGATCAAGTGAATTTGTGGAGAAGCCTTAGATCTAAAAGAAAATCAAGGGCAGATACACCTATTAATAAAGACGATGTAAAAGCGGCAATTGACATGGTTGAACGCATGGAAAGTATGAATGTGGCGGAAGCAGAAAGAAAAATGAAAAATAAAAAAAAGGCTGAGAAAGAAGGTGATAGTAGTGATGAAACCATAAGAGAAGAAATGGATGAAGATTTCATATCCACTGATTCAGCAAGTGAGGAAGATGATGGATGTGACTGGTGTGATTTAATGGGTGAAAATATTTTGAAATGTGGACGATGCGCAGGCGGAAGATGTGTTGAGTGTATAATGAAAGAGATTAGCAAGGATCTTAATAATTTGGCTATTGTAGATAAGTATTATTGGAGTATGCTCAAAAGACATGCAAAAGAGTTTGCAGAACAAAATCTTAAAAATTGACGTATGTTTTTGTTTAAAGAATGTCATTGGTTTTTTTTTTTTTTCTTTTTTTTTCATATAATAAAAGTAAACCAACGACCGTAACACCTCTTCACCCAAATGCATGCTATGAATTATTTAAAATGAAATGTTGGCTTTTTCAATAGCATTACACTCATACAATAAATTCATATTCATCATTATAACACTAATCAACTGGTTAATAAATTTAAAATCAAAACTGTGCTACTGAGAAACAAAGGTAATTTCTGTATAGATCTTTAAGGGAAGGTTTTACTTATAATTTATGGGAAAAATAATTAAATTTAGCATAGTCTGAACAGATCAAAGCACATAAAATTTAAATAGGTAAAATAAAAAAGTCGAAATCGTTTTTAAATAGATTGTTGAAAATAAATCATTTAGCATTGTTCATTCCAATCATTGTGATCTATCCTAATGCAAGAACAGTTAAATGTGCAACATAAAAAATAACATGTACGTACGATTCCGAAGGTAATCTACTGTATCTAGTTCATCAGTACAAAGTTCCATAATTGCAATCAAATGAGCTAAAAGAAAATATGCAAGACTTAACACTACATCATTTATGATTATGTCAATTCGCTAGCGCACTTTTACATGACAGTCAAATTTGTCAAGAGATTATAGCGATATAATAGAAAGAAAAACTAGAAAATTAACTGTTTATCCATCGAAACCTAAAAAAATAAGTAGTTTTAAGATTATATTCGAAAATAATTTATATACAGTACGTACGTACGTATATATATAATATATAACAGATAAATTATCAATTGCAGACTAGTGTTGCAAACAAAATTACGTAAGATTAATCATTACATACCGATAGTTATTTCCTGTGATGATTAATATTACGTAATTTTGTTTGCAACGCTATTGCAGACGAAAATTGCTTACAAATAATTAGACTTAAAACAATACATTCAATTTATACACCACGAAACATCACAACCTCATAATTGGACGAGAATTAAGTTATTATACACGTGAGCAGTAACGATAAATCATACGATAAAAAAAGTGATAAGTATGCAAATCTCAATTTCCACTTTGGAGATTACCGAGATAACGATTAACATTAGTGCAACGTAAGGTACATGTGACTTCTATGAAGCTAAAATCTAGCATATATAAATATTTATATAGGTTTAAGCATTTAATATCGATAGATAAACATTTCGTAATTTTTCAATAATAGCTTATAGGAAAGTCATTTCTTGGCTTTGGAGTTTTGCAGTGAAATTTTATCGTTAACAATGGTATCTAGGCAATAATCATATTAATACTGAACATTATTTTTATCTAATTTAGCAAGTCAATAGACCTCTCTTAGGGTAAAGCTAGAAGAATGATGGCTTAACTTGAACCTAATCAACTTCAGGCAGTGACTGGGTCTGCTTTAAGTGAACGATTCTTTGTTCCAGCGTTAAACGATAAATGGTTCAAGCAATAGCTTAAGTTATCTCTGCTGTTGAATTATCATTAAGATCATGGCTTGAGCTTCAAGCAAAAAAATTTCAATATGGTTAGTGATGCATTTGTACGTACGTACGTATGTAGGGTTTGCGTGCAGCTAAAAAATCTGTATGTCTCCGCAAGTTGTCAATTAATAAGGATTTTAGTAAGGTTAAAAGTAATGCTTGTTTAATTAATTAATTAAACATAAATAGCTGATGTCGAAATTCATTTAAAATATTAATACGGTTTTACAGCTAAAGTACTGTATAGGTTCGGTCTCAGTTTGAGTTTGATCAAACTCCAAACTCAAACCAAACTCATTTCATAAAATTCAAATTCAAACTCAAACGTAGAATAATCAAAAACCACCCTAGCATAACTGATAACCATCACGATCAGTTACGTAATCGCTTTAAATTCTGATCTGAGATTTTATTTAACCGGGTCTCATGTAAAAATTATCATTATATAAAAATTTTAATTATATAAAGTTTTTATTGCATCGAGAAAGTGTTTATTCGAAATTTATTTGCTAAATAATTATTACCTAATTTTATATACTATATCTGATATCATAAATTTTATTCAAATTTATTTGGTAAACTATTATTAACTTACATACTATATCATAAAATTGTTCATGAATTCTAAGTTTACCAAAAAAAGTATTTTGCTTGGTTCAGTTTCTTTATGTCGTCCATCATCTTTTGAATTAGCATGAATTTGATTTGTTACGGAAGGTTATAAGACTTTTCAAGAAAGTTAAGCGCCTATATCAGAATAGTATCGATATCAATTTTTATTATGTTGCATAATTTAATTTGATAAAACAATAAATAGATTATACTTAAAGATTTTTTTGTATTGATCTATGATTTCCAATTTGCTTTTTTCTTCACTTGACTCGTCATCTTCTACAATATTACTATCGTCACTATCAAGAACAGTTGAAGTAATCATTATAGGAAGCTTTGCATTATCAGGTGATATGCGGATTTTACCATATGGTTTTTTCGGCTTCTTCAATTAATGGATAATAAAAACTCCGTTGAATCTAAAGTAAAATTATTAATTGTTGAGGACTCAAAATTTGAGGACTAGCTCTTAAGACCCGGTTGGTGACCGGGTTCGAGTTTTTAATTTTTTGCTAATTCTTAGGCCTCAACGTTATTAGTTTATAAGACCTGGTTAGTGACCGGGTTCGAGTTCCTAATTTTTTGCTAATTCTTAGAACTTAATGTTATTAACTCTTAGGCTTCTATATTATTAGTTTATAAGACCCGGTCAGTGACTAGGTTCGAGTTTTTAATTTTTTGCTAATTCTTAGGTCTTAACATTATTAGTTTATAAGACCCGGTCGGTGACCAGATTCGAGTTTCTAATTTTTGGCTAATTCTTAGGCCTCAACGCTATTAACTCTTAGACCTTAATATTATTAGTTTATAAGACCTGGTCGGTGACCAGGTTCAAGTTCCTAATTTTTTGCTAATTCTTAGGTCTCAATATTATTAACTCTTAGGCTTCTATATTATTAGTTTATAAGACCCGGTCAGTGACCGGGTTCGAGTTTCTAATTTTTTGCTAATTCTTAGGTCT